TGTATAAAAATGTATATATGTATATGTACATGTATATGTATATATGCACTGTTTTTGTATGACTGTTTGAGTGTTGTCATTGTGTTAGAGAGAGTAAATGCCATGAATAAATTTGGCATTAAACATAATCCAAGTTGAAGTGTTGCATCATTTTCAGCCCCCTTTTTGGCTTCTGCATATGGTAGCAGGCCAAATTGACAAAGACCATGCAGAATAATGTAGTATTTTAATTCCACAGCAGAGAAAGCCATGTAGTCTCTGTAAGTAGGTCTAGGAAAAAAAATACATCGAAATTGGTATGGGTTATCGGCCAAATAAGTTTTAACATATTGGCATATTGAATATTGGCTAAAAATCCAATATCGTGCATTCCTACTTTAAATTAATCTTTTTTGTTGTTCTTCAGTTAATCTAATAAGCACTTTGAGATTTTTGTTAATGAAAAGTACGTTACAAATTAAATTCATTATTATTATTATTATTATTATTATTATTAATAATATTGGTTTCTGCTATATCCCCCCCCCCCAAAAAAAAATAAAAAATAAAAATAATGACAATGTTGCTCCTGTGTAATATTACATCATAGCAAATGACTTCTAGGACAATTCTATGTGCATGTAAGAGATCAGTTTGAGAATAGCAGTAAAATAATACCATCCTAAACAATAAAATTTCATTTTTAACAAAAGGGAAAAAAACTATCTCATCCCATTTAAAATGCTGGAATCTCTCACTGTAAGTTTTGTTTTATGTTACTGAAGGACTGTTGTAGCTCTTTTGGTGTACATGTTTAATTTACACATTAGGATTAATCCAACTGAATATATTCCATGAGAGAAATCAGTGCTAATATCCTCTGTGTTTATAAAATACAATAAAGTTAAAAGAAAAACACAGATCTTATAAACATAATACTTATCATGAGAAATTAAAACAATAAAAACAATTAAAATGGAATTAATCTTTTTTTCTTTGAATAGTGTTAGAAAAATGAATATTAAATAGCCTAAGTTTATTTTGGTACACATAGCCAAGTTTAACTGTCTACAACAAAATTTACCATACCATACCACTTTATTTATAAAGCACTTAAAATAGCGACAAGGCCAACCAAAGTGCTGTACAAACAAAAAAATTTAGTAATTAATTTGAATTACAAAAATAAGCTGAGTTCAATTAAATTGAGTCATTTATGGTAAATGTGTGTCTTTTCCCACTGTAAAATCTTTTGAGTTTCTAATAATTTGAATCAGTATTAAATATTTTGAAAACTATTGTACACACTAAAACGTGCTGGGTTTTAAACCACCTGCTCTGTAACCCAGCACTGCATCAAATTTGCACCGAGCCAACCCTGGATCAGTTCTCCCGCCAAAAATTTAATTAAAATGACTGGACTAATTTGTTAAATTAGTGTTAAGTGTTTGTTAAGTTTTTAACAAAAACCAGTGAGGTTAAATATCTCATTACAAGTTCTTTGTTTCATCTAACCTTTATTACATAATAATAACAATAACAAAATCCATCCATCCATCCATCTATTATCTTTACCCGTTTATTCCATTTTGGGTCGCGGGGGTCGCCAGTGCCCATGTCCAGCAATCACTGTGCGAGGGGCGGGGGACACCCTGGACGGGTCGCAAGTCCATCACAGGGCCACATAGAGACAAACAACACAAACAACCATTCACTCTCTCACTCACACCTAGGGACAATTTAGAGTTACCAATCAGCCTAACATGCATGTTTTTGGTCTGTGGGAGGAAACCGGAGTACCTGGAGAAAACCCACGCATGCACGGAGAGAACATGCAAACTCCACCCAGAAAGGCCCCTGGACCAGGGTTTGAACCAAGGACCTGCTCGCTGAGAGGCAGCAGCTCTACCAGTTGCGCCACCGTGCTGCACAATAACAAAATATGCTATGTATTGTCATAATTGTATGTTCCCATACAATGGCAAAATTGGCGAAATTGGTTCTCTGCATTTAACCCATCCACCACCAGATGGTGCAGTGGGCAGCTATTAAAGGCGCCTGGGGAGCATTTGGGGATGGGATGTCCTGCTCAGACACACCATGAGATGTGCAATGACTGGGGATTGAACCTAGGACTTTCGGATCCTGAGTCAGCTGCCCTGCCTCTACACCATCAAAGCCAGTCAGGTTTGATTTGATCAGCTTCTGGATTAAAATGGCAAACTGTGAAGAATGTCACAGCTTCTCTCTGAAACAACAACTGTGTCAAACATTTTTATCTACCATTTGGTCAAACCAACCCAATCTAAGACCCAACAGATTTATTCCAGCCACTGAGTTCTCAACACAACCCAGCAGTTTTTAGTGTGTTTGAATGAAACAAAGGAAAGTTTGTGCATGTTTGAAAAGTTTTCTCATTCTGACAGGCATCCATACTCTGTTGGGAGGATTACAGTGTTAAATTATCTCACAAAGAGAGCTGATCCATGCCAGTATGCAGTGCTAAAGGAGCACTTCTCTTCACTGTTTCTAACTATGATTTTATTCAAAAAGTGTTCAATACAAAAACAACTGGACTTTATTTGTAACAGAAGACATGATTTACTATGATTTTATATTAAACCTGGGCTTTAATCTAAACTGTAATTTACTGTTATAGGAGTTGTGGTTTTTGTCCCTGGTGTCTAGCCCCATCTGGTGTCATGTTTATGTCTGCATTCCCCGGCTCCTCTGTTTCTATCTTTATAGGGTTTGTGTTTCTTTAGTATCTATCTCCATCTTATGTTGTGTTTATGTCTTGCGTCTTCAGTCTCTCTTTGGCATCTGTGATTACTCACAGGTGTCTTCACTTTGTCTAATTAGTGTTTGCTGTATCTAAGCCTGTGTGTTTGTCTCACTCCTTGTCCTGGCATTGTCTTCTGTCTACTGGTGATGACATGTATGTTTAGTGAGTACATCCTGATCCTTCTATGTTTGTTTTGCAGTCCTTTCAGCTCTTTGTTTTGTTAATATATATATATATATATATATATATATATATATATATATATATACTATTGTCATATAATCCAGAGTTCTTGCATGCATGCCTGCACCATTGGGTTCACCAGCACCAGCCTTTTGTGACAACTGTAAACCTATGATGTGTCAGGCTGAAAGACCATCAGCTATTTTTTGCACTGAGTTTCTGCTTCAGGCTTTCGTTCAGACTAGCATTCTTTACTTTAAAACAGAGCTATATACGTGTGTGTCTGTTTGTGTGCACACACAACCAGACCCAACCCTCCAGGCAGTAGAAAATGACATCGTTTTAAAATGATACCTTGCTGTGGGCATCTGAATAGTACCTTATGTTATAACTCACTCTGGATTTCCACGTGCCTGTTTTTTCTGCTTTGAAGACTGTATTTACTTGAGTGATGGATGAGAATACATTTCTAAATAAAAGATTTAAAAAACAGACCTAAAATTTAGGCAGAAATTACAGCTTTTGTGAAGTCGAGTCTATTTTACCTGTCTGGCACCAGGGTGGAAGCTGGATTCTTCAGAGGACTCAAGGAGCCACAGCGGGGAAACAATCTCCACGACCCGCTCAGCTTTGTCCAATAAATTGTTCAGTCCTACCGAGAGAGGTAGGTGAGATATGCTGCTGTCTGAGAAGGAGATGTCCTCTGGGATGTTCTCCACGAGCACTATACTGTAAAAAATAATGAAAACAAAAATTACTTAAAATATGATGCAAAATGTTTATTTCTAAGTGTGCACACAATCACAGTTGGTTTTTATGTAACCGTTGTACGCTTCAGATGCAGCTACTGTAGATGTAATAAAATACCTGCTGTTTTTATCAGCTGCTCACCATGTTCATTGTGTGAGGTTCATTATGGCTGCATGAAATGTTCTCACAGCTTTGGTGCATTCAGGCATCAGTTTGCATAAAAAACACTGTAGCACAAATATGAAAGTTAAATGATGGGGAAAATGTCCTTTTTTTTTACCATTTTATATTTGCATATATCATGGTGAAAAATCTACTAAGTCAATCTCTTTTTCGTTTATTTGTGTTTTTACGAAGTTTGCTGAAAGTGATGGGGGCCAAGTCAACAGACAACATTGGCAATGTAAAGCCTATTTCTGCAGCCACTCAGAACTAGCCCATTAGAAGCTCCAGCACATACCAAATCTAATCTTTGTCTGGCGCAGACACTGATTTCACCCAGCTGGATCCTGAGAGAAATATGGACGGGAGCAGCTGTTCCGTGTGGGTGAACAACTTCAGTGTAGATTCTGGTGTTTAACATCTGGGGAAAACATTTTATTTATATATTTTACACTATAGCTGCACAACCCACTGAGAGGATAGACTGAAGACATTGTGAGGGCTTTTGCAGAATGGTTTGGATCAGTCCTACACTTAGTTTCACAACGCACTATTCCAGTTTAATCAACACAATGACAGGTTGATTAATTTTATTGGCGTACACATGGTTGGGTTGCCATCACGACTGAATGGTTAATTGAGTTAATTACGAAATGATTTAGTTATTGACTGAATGATGTCTCACAGTGTCACAGGTTAAACAAACACTAATCAAAGGCTATTATATTATGTTGTTGTTCCTCATTTATCACACACCGTGAAATTAGATTTGAGAGCCTGATCTCGTTTCCAGCCAGTCACACACAAACAGACCCAAGCCCTTGGTATCACATTGTAACGCAACTTTTTATAGGTGTTAAACTGTGTGTTTCAGAGGAATTGAATATTAGAACAGGAAACAACAAATCTTTAAGTTGCATTTCTCTCATCCCGTAGGAGAATTGTGGATTGTTGTTTAAAGCTCTCCAGTAAAGAACAAATATAACATATGTTTGAGATCATTCATTATTTTTTACGTATTTCTGTTTAGAGTTGTGGAGAGCTGGTGCTTATCTCCAGCATTCACTGTGCTGGAGGCGGGGTACGTCCTGAAGAGGGATCTTGATTAATTTTGCTTTTCGTGTACTGCCTTGCCTTTAAAAAAAAAAGTTAACTTCGTCTTGTTTTATACTCATTATTTCCTTATATGTATACAGTTCAAGGTAATTTCCTAAAAAAAAAAAAACAAAAAAAAAAAAAGCAGTTAAAAAAAACCTATTGTATGTGTCATTTCTAAACATATTCTTGTAAACCTGGCATTGTTTCTAAAAATGTTTTCATTCACACAATGCTGTGGTGCTGTAATGCTGCCAGGAAAATGCTCTATAGTCAGGAAACAGCGTGGAGCATTAAGATTACACGCTGTGTAAAAACTTTAAACATCGAGTCCAACATTTTCTCTTGCATCTCATCATTGTGGGTTGAGGATGAGTTGAGATGAGTATACAAAGGTTTTGCTGTAGTTGGACAACTACTGGAGGTTCTGTAGAGTCTGCGGCTCAAACCCAAGAACAGAATCGGTTAATACTGTTGTTCTCACATCTGATCAGGCTCTAGGCTAAATTAAATTAAATGTTGAGTTATGTCATGATCGTGTTTGTCTTTCTACACCAAAACGCAAAATAATCTTGAAATTTACACTCATTCATTCATTCAACCTTTATTTAGACAGGTAAATCCCATTGAGCCTCGAGGACTCATTTACAAGAGACCTGATTTCAACAAAGAATGATGACACAATGGCATAAAAACATTTTAGGACTCCTAAATGCTGTTTTCACATGAATGCAAGGCTGAAACGATACATTTGCACATTCAAAAAAATCTTCTTAGTGTTTTAGCAACATACATGTGTCTCCTTCTTAAAAAGATGTCCTTGCTCAATTCGCCACTGAATTTTGTACCATAAAATGTTTTCTTGTAAAGATTTGTAATTTAAGTGTCTGGCTCAGAACAGCATGCCAGCTCAGCCTGAAAGTCACACCTGTGAGCCTGACCAATGCTTGGCTCAAGGACATGATGGTCAAAGCATGTGTTATAGATGATATATCGTGATTAAAGCACCCTAAGGCCGGTTGCCAGCTCTCAGCTGGAAAATGTATTCCTGGCTAAAATAGAAGCTCAGTCAGTGTATGGAAAGTGGCCAAGGTTCAAACTGTTAGGTTCACACTCTGTAATCACACCTTTATAACATTTCCTGATGTAAATGGCAGTGATGTACTTTCAGTGAAGGAGTTTGGAGGTAAAGCTGACTGATACGGTTGCTGAGGGAAGGATTTCAGTGGACCTACAGTAGTCCCTTGTTTATTGTGAGGGATCGGTACCCTGAAGACCCGCAATAAGAGAAAACTGTAAAGTAGGAATATTAGTACAAGTAATAAAAAGTAGTTTATTTTGTTTATATATACAGGTGCTGGTCATAAAATTAGAATATCATGAAAAAGTTAATTTATTTCAGTAATTCCATTCAAAAAGTGAAACTTGTATATTATATTCATTCATTACACACAGACTGATATATTTCAAATGTTTATTTCTTTTAATGCTGATGATTATAACTGACACGTGGCATGGAGTTGATCAGTCTGTGGCACTGCTCAGGTGTTATGAGAGCCCAGGTTGCTCTGATAGTGGCCTTCAGCTCTTCTGAATTGGTGGGTCTGGCATATCGCATCTTCCTCTTCACAATACCCCATAGATTTTCTATGGGGTTAAGGTCAGGCAAGTTTGCTGGCCAATTAAGAACAGGGACACCATGGTCCTTAAACCAGGTACTGGTAGCACTGGCACTGTGTGCAGGTGCCAAATCCTGTTGGAAAATGAAAATTGCATCTCCATAAAGTTGGTCAGCAGCAGGAAGCATGAAGTTCTCTAAAACTTCCTGGTAGACGGCTACGTTGACCTTGAACCTCAGAAAACACAGTGGACCAACAATGTCTGGATCACTGACTGTGGAAACTTGACACTGGACCTCAAGCAACATGGATTCTGTGCCTCTCCACTCTTCCTCCAGACTCTGGGACCTTGATTTCCAAAGGAAATGCAAAATTTACTTTCATCAGAGAACATAACTTTGGACCACTCAGCAGCATTCCCAGGTGAGATGCTTCTGACGCTATCTCTTGTTCAAGAGTGGCTTGACACAAGGAATATGACAGCTGAACCCCATGTCTTGCATATGTCTGTGCGTAGTGGTTCTTGAAGTACTGACTCCAGATGCAGTCCACTCTTTGTGAATCTCCCCCAAATTTTGGAATGGATTTTGTTTCACAATCCTCTCCAGGGTGTGGTTATCCCTATTGCTTGTACACTTTTTTCTACCACATCATTTCCTTCCCTTCGCCTCTCTATTAATGTGCTTGGACACAGAGCTCTGTGAACAGCCAGCCTCTTAAGCAATGACCATTTGTGTCTTGCTCTCCTTGTGCAAGGTGTCAATGGTTGTCTTTTGGAAAACTGTCAAGTTAGCGGTCCTCCCCATGATTGTGTAGCCTATAGTATGAGACTGAGAGACCATTTAAATACATTTGCAGGTGTTTTGAGTTAATAAACTGGACTGTGGCACCAGGTGTCTTCAATATTGAACCATCCATCCATCCATCCATCCATTATCTTTACCCGTTTGTTCCATTTTGGGTCACGGCGGTCGCTGGTGCCCATGTCCAGCAATCACTGTGCAAGGGGCGGGGTACACCCTGGACGGGTCGCAAGTCCATCACAGGGACACATAGAGACAAACGAGACAAACAACCATTCACTCTCTCACTCACACCTAGGGACAATTTAGAGTTACCAATCAGCCTAACATGCATGTTTTTGGTCTGTGGGAGGAAACCGGAGCACCCGGAGAAAACCCACGCATGCACGGAGAGAACATGCAAACTCCACCCAGAAAGGCCCCTGGACTGGGGTTTGAACCAAGGACCTTCTCGCTGAGAGGCAGCAGCTCTACCAGTTGCGCCACCGTGCTGCCCGTTTCTAAACTCTACACGCTCTAAAAGAGCACAGAATGTTATGATTTCAGCTCCTTGCTTCCTCTGCTCTTTGCCACCAGCAAAGGCTCTTGACCACGCCCACTTCTCCGCTCTGATGGGGAACAGCTGATCAGCTGCAGCAGGAAGTTTATCCTGCAGTAGTGGCTGCATAAATGTGCAGGAGGTGCTAAATAATTTAAAACAATGTATTTTAAATAAAAATTCTATGTTGATCGTGCGGCTCATCCTTGAATAAGCTAGTTGCGTGTCATGTCCAATCTTATTTTGAAAAACCACGATAGAGCAAGTCTGCGATAAACAAACCACAAAGTATCGAGGGACAGCTGTACTCCTAACTTTGTGTTGCAAAGCTCTAAAAAGTGCTCTTACAGCAACTAAGAAAAGGCATAGAGAATCCAGTATAATTGGCTTTGATAATAATATAGAACTTAAAATTCACATAACACAGCATGCTGTTCTGAAAACACAGAAAAGAAAAAGGAAGCACATAATTTCACAATGAGAGGTGAAAAACACATTGTAGAAAAGTCTGGGACAATCCACTGAGAAAAGAATGAACCCAGTCTTCCCCAATGGTTGAGAGATATGATTAATAGCGATTTTTCACTGGCTAAATCAGTCGGACAGGCCTCGGCATTCAAATTAGAGAAAGCAAGGAGGCAGCAGTTGTTTATTCCTGCAGAAGTTTTATTGATTTATGCAGTCTGTATTGTTCGTGGCTGGTTCTATCCTTTGTAACCCATGTGTGCAGCGCTGGGCTCCACTCAGCCCCAGCAGCCAATAAAGCAGATGTGTAAACTTCACGCTGTATTTGTGTGCAGACATGAAACGATCAAACAGAAGGAGAGGGAGAGGGCCTTTACAAAACCCTCTCTTTAAATGAGAATGAATGCTGTGGTGTATGAGTAAAGTTGCATCACTTTATTGTTAAAGCGATGCATGAAAACATTTTCCACCATATTAGATAGAAGACAGGGCTGATCAAAAATGCAATAAACAGTCTCAAATCCCCACAGAATGTTAGCATACTGGATATATGACTATGCACATGCTTGTGATACCCCATGCCTGTTGAAGCACACTTAGAGCAACATGGGATCATATTGAAAATCATATTATGTCTGTCTGAGTCAACTCTTGACATCAGATATAAATTATCCAGCCTCTCGTGAGCTGCCCAGAGCTGCTTCGGTGTAGCTGCAAAGTCATTAAGACGAGCCTCACAGCCACTCTTCTCCCAGCGTGCTTTCAGTTTAGTTTCATCAGTAAGCAAAAGGCAAGAAAACAAAAAAGGGATTTCATTTTAAACATCTGCGCTTGACACAAATGTATTGGACAGCTGGCCATCATGTCACCATGTTGTTCCAGTTTAATAATGCTATTTAAACAATTAAAGAGACATTTGGAAAAACCTAAATTGATTTCAAAGTGACAGATATGTTACAAATCTCTGGGGGGCATGATGTGTTATAGCTTGTTGATCAGTCTGTTTTTTATTAGTCTGTAGACGCGTGAATCACAAATGTTAATGATTATTTGTCTTTATGTATTAGGTTGGGTCGTCTATTTTTGGAGAGACAAAAATCATCATCCTTCAACAGCAAAACAGATTAAAAGAAAATCTGCATAAGAAACAAACAGATGAAGCAAACAGAACATCACAGTGAGTGCTGATTCACTACTTTTGTGTCCTAAAAGCCTTTTAATTGTGAAAGTGCATTATTGGCTATAAAGCAAGGTATTGCAGTCTGCTGAATTGAAATTATTCAGAGGAAATTAAGTTAATCACATTAAGCTTTGGAGTGTACACTCAGAACCACAACAAAATGGTTTTGCATTTACTTTAAGAAAGTACAAGAAGTACCTTCATGGACTAAGTGAGTGAGCACAAGCCTCACAGCAGCTCCATTAAAAATATGTTAGTCTCAGAACAATCCATCGCTTTTTATTTTACTTTGCAGAATACTTTGAGCAAAAAAACATTAGCTACACGCCTTATATTGCTTTTTATTATTAACATGTTTCTATAAATTCTATCATTCACCTTAGAAATAATAGTTCACATAATAAAATCTTAGGCCTGTGAAACTAGTTAGGAGCATTCTTGAACGGACAAGGCCCCCATCATCCCTGACAGTGAGCCAATAACAGCTGATGAATCTATTCATCATCTTTATCCCCCTCCATCTGCTTCACCCTTCCACAGCCTCCTCTTTATTGTACCCCCCAGCTTCTGGGGTCCTTCAGAGGACAAGAGGGGCTCATTCAGCTCAGAAAGTCAAAATTTCTCTTTCACTCTTTTAAGAGGAAGAGAAGAATTCCTGGCAGAGTTTTCTGAAAGGACGCAACTGGCTGATTTGAGGAAGAAGCGGGCGAAACTAGATGGACACAGATGGAGGCGTGATCCAAGGCTGAATTAAAGTGGATGATGAGGGTCTAATGGTGGGGAACCAGCAGGAAGTGTGGAGGAGGAAGAAAGAAAAACCTGCTGTCTCAGCTCAACACCTGCTGACTAGCTGCTTTCACCCTGGACCACCAGGACTCAGTGGAGAGGTTTCTAAACTCTTCAGCTTAAGAGTCATGCTAGGAAATTTTGCATAGGTTGTAGAATTTGGACAAAGTCTGGTTTAAACTAACTGTCAAAAGAGTCAAGTAATCATTACAGTCCAGTGGAGGAGACGACACAATAAAGGAATGGACGTATACTCGGTGTCATTCTAAATATTTAAAGTTGTAATTAGACGTTTCATTCAATGGAACAGGCAGCTGGTTCTGCTTTGTGGTTTACAGTTGAGTTAATGCAGTCACAACTGAAAGATGTGCACAAAGTTTTGGACAGAGATTTCATGTGATCATTTAATGCTTGGAGTATATGATGGGAACAATTCTTAGCTATTACCGTACCAAACTTTAGCTCAGCATTTCTCAAATTGACTGAGTTATGATCATTTGTGTATTTGCTATGGTCAGTTTGTGGCGACCATCTTGAATCGGGATGACTCCAAAGGTTAAGGTACACGTACATCTAATAATAGCTTTCTAAAAGTTTCATTAAAATCCAGACAGAAAATTCAAGAGATAGTTTGTTAACAGATATAGCGGTTTGATTGAAACAGACAATGTCTATGTTTTAAATAGCACAACACCTTGCACAACTGGTTAGATTTTGTGGTGGTGATGCCTCTCAGCCCCAACCACACCAAAGTTTAGCTCAATATATGTAAAACTGACTGAGCTATAGACAAGTATGTGTTTGCAAATCTGCAACAATCAAGAATCAGTTTGGCTCCAAATGTTATTCACTCCAATTCCTTTGTGAGAAAAAATATTCGTGCTGAACATCTGATCTGAATCAGAATCAGAATAAGCTTTATTATCATTGTACTGAGATACAATGAGATTATGTCCGTACTGTCGTCTGAAAGGTGGGCGGAGTGCACGTTGCTGCTGCTACAGAAGCGCAGCCTCTTATCCTTTATCAGAAAAGTTTTTTAGATAGAAAAAGGTAAAAGGCCATGAGGATGGATAGTGAAATTACAAAAAAGATCTCTTCACGTCTTGTCCTATCAGGACACAATTTAAGACATCAAAAAACTCCATGAGCAAGTACATTTATAAACACATTACATTGCATTTGAGTGTGATAGACAAAGCTTTTTCCTTAGTTTATCCATGTCCCAGGAGAGATTTGATAATTGGCCTGCTTTCGAGGCCAAACGTGGGATTCAGATTCAGATAAGCCACAATTGTTGATTTTCTTCAGGCAGATTGTTTTTCTTGTCAGCCTTGAGTTCTGCTGGTACTTTCAAGATCCAAAATGGCCAGATTTGTGGGTATTCCACTGATCCGTGCTATGATCCTCGTTCAAGGTCGTCTCCAACATGCTGGCGAGTCCTAGAAGCCGCAGGTGGCCTGCGATTCTCACAAATCACCTCCATCTTACGGTTTAGCTCATAAATCATCTGATTTTGAGTACTCATAGCACAAACTAAACCTTCACAGTTCACACTTCTGAAGCTTTAATTCATGTTTTAGAGGAAATATTAAAGTAATAAAAAGTACCTATGGTCTATGGACATTAGTTGTGGAGAAGCGCCATAAGAAAAAACCCCCCCAAAAAAAACAATTCTGTTTTACCTGCAGTTCCTTGAACAGTTCTCTTCTGTGATTCCATCCTCATCCTCGCCCCAAATATCCACTGCTGAGAAAATCAGCGCCACCAGCACAGCAAAGCAGCACACCAAGGCGAAGATCACAATGCACTTCTGCTGAGACTGCAAGAAATTGAAACAAAACAATATTGATTACCAGGCTTTATTTTATTTTGCTCTCCTCTACTTCTGTAAAAACCCATGGCGAGCCATAGTTCCCCAACCTAGACCCTATTAGCTGCTTGGATGACAGAACTGATTTACTGCTCGGCTCAGCGGGTCATAACATGATGGAGGAGAATCCGACACGTGTGTTCATGTATGATCTCACAGACTCAGTTCCTAAATATAAACAGGGATAAGCGGGGAACAATCAGGGAGGACAAATGTGGAAAGCAACAAGGAAGATTAAGGAGAAAGATAGCAAAAAAGCCAAAAAAAAAAAAAAAAAATCAGAGCTTCTTTACCTTTGGAGTTATTTTTAGCCATGAACAAAGTATGTTTTGACTCATTAGAGGTCACCATGTTCTGTGAGGGGAGAAAAATGTGAAGGAGACTAAGTCCCAGCTGTTACTTCTCACTTCACTTCAAGTGGGACCCACATTTAGAGTTTTTACTGACACAACACAGACTCCTCTGCTTTTCAATAATCGGGGGTGAAGTATTTCACCAATATGTTCTGTTTATTAATTGCCGATACGCAGTATACGTCACTATTTGAAACATGTACAGTATGTTGAAACCACATATAAGAGCAGGAAATTATTTTAAAATCATGAGGATATGATGAGATTAAACAGCAGCTATTCCTAATTTAGTTAGAACTTTCCAAGTGGAAAGGCTGATATTTCAAGACAAAAACCTTCAGCTATGAAAGGATTATATTTTTGTTTTTCTTTCTTTCCCTTCTGCAGGGGTTGCAACGCCAAGCAAACTTGCATGAAAGACCACCGAGCTACCAACGAAAAAGATTACGATTTGCATGAACAAAATAAGTCAGCTTAATTGTTATGTTAATCTGCTCTTTGCACGGATCATTACACCTATTGAAGGGAAGTAATAGTGAGAAAAAAACAACATGAAAAAGTTCAACTTCATCAGCCAAACAAGCCCTTTACAAAAAGAAAACCCATCCATTCTTGTTGACAGGAGGGAAAATGCGCTCCTGTTTCTGCCAAAGAATATGTCCGAAGGGAATTGTGGACCTTTAAAATAAAGTAGCAAAAACAGAAAATATAGCTGCAATATTCTCTACCACTTTGTGTAGTATGAGACCAAAATGTGCAGTAAGATTTTTACTTGTAAACATATTTAAAATGAAATTTAAAAAAAGCGAAAATCACAGCCATTCAGAAAATGTGGTTTGTGAGTTTTGCTTAGATATTTTTGTAATGTTGCTTTGATTTGTATGTGTTTTTTAATTGCTTTCTGAATTAATTCTCTAACATTTGTCTTGGTTTTATCAGTCTGCTTCTGTGAGGACAAATTCTTTCAGCTGAAAAATAAAAACAGTCACAGTGCATAAAGATAAACAAGGAAAAACTGTGAATGATGTCTGACGGTACACATTTGAAATTCGAGAATTATCATATAAAACAACAAACATACTGAAAGGCAGGGAATCCTAGATAATCAGATTATGTATATTATACATTATCAGATTATACAACAAAACATAAAAAATGAACAACTTTAATAAATTTGAGATATTTTGCGTTTTGGGATTTGTTCCTCCTTAGACTAATCATACAGAATCTGTTGTAAAGAGAGGACTGTGTTTTGCAGTTCGGCTACACCCGGCTTTGTGTTTAATAAATAAAAATAACACATATTTGTTACAGCAGTATCATAGAACTCATCAGTCTTGTTCATTTGGCCAAACATGCCACTTCCCATCATCTACCTTCAGCTATAACACAGATCTGTCCAAAAATCTGTGCACGTGTTAGATGGCTGCATCGGGCGAAGCATCATTCTACTGAGAGTATTGCAACTAAGTTTACTAAAACTCCTCATTGGTTCATCGTTGGGGTTTCCATCTTTACTTCCAGTTATTTCCTTTCTTTTCCTGTCAGACTCGTGTGGCTTTAATGGTTATTAGGACTGACTGAGAAAAGTATATAATTTAAACATGGAAAATTATGTGTAAATACCAAGAAATATAATGATTGAGGTGTTTGTGCTTGTGTGTGTTGGTGTTTGAGGGAAACGTGTCAGGAGACAGAAGGAGAAGAGGAAAGTCAAGAATGAAAAACTGAGGGAGGCAACTCTAAATGTGGGGACAATGACAGGCAAAGGTAGAGAGCTGGTTTACATGATGCAGAGAAGGAAGGTAGATGTTTTATGTGTCCAAGAGACCAAGTGGAAGGGCAGCAAAGCTCACAGCATTGGAGCAGGGTTCAAACTGTTTTACCATGGTGTGGATAGAAAGAGAAATGGAGTAGGGGTGGTCCTCAACGAGGAGGTGGCAAATAATGTAGTAGAAGGAGAAGAAGAAGAAGGAGATTTTGATTTTTAACCAAAGTTTATTTACACTTAAGTTAACAGAACAGCGTTAAAAAGGTGATCAGGACAAGGTTAAAATAAAATATTTACATGAGGAGCTTGATGTATTGTAGTTTTCCCTGATCAGAAATGGTGCATAAAACCTTCTTAAATCCCCACAGTTTCACAAAACTCTCAGTGTCCAGAGTCTCTGTGGAAGCAAAACTCCAATGCAATAAAAAGAAAAAGAAGTAGCAGAAGCAGCAGCACCACCACCACCACCACTACCACCACCTGGTCCAAAGACAAGCTAAAACTGACCTGGATCCTGCATGTACCCATGGTATACAAACTCCAGCAATGCTCTTACACATATTCTGGACTTGTCCAAAGCTGCAGGGCTAATGGCAATCTATTTCTGATACTTTCCCTGGGATATATGAAAAAATTGTGAACCCGTTGCCATTCATTTCATTGTTTGGGGTGGCCTCTATGGATACATCCTTTAGCAAGTACAAGAGGAATGTGATGTTTTTGGCTCTCTTCTAGCCAGGAGACTTATTTTATGCAGATGGAAGTATCCACATCCCGCAGCATATGAACACTGGATAAGAGAAGTTTAGTGTCAAATTCATTTAGATACTCTGAAAGTATCTGTTGAGAGATTTTGAGACACTTGGCAGTCATTTGAATATTACATTGAAAGTCTGTCAGTGCTTGTTTAATGTATGTTTAATGTATTCATGTCTGTTTATCTGATCTGGTATGGGAGGGGATTTTATTGTATGACTAAAAAAAAATGTGGTCTAAAAAACAAAATTAATAAAAGACATTGATTAAAAAGAATTTGTCAAATTAAAACATTTTATTTTGCTGGAAAAGTTGAGAAAAAAATAGACTTTATATTGATAAAAAATATATATATTTTTGAGCATGTATTCAAAAGGAAATACACCTTCCAATATATTTGCAGCAAGAATGATTTGTGTTTAACACCGTCGATGGAGAATTGTGTATTGATTTTTGCATAATACTGAAGTCATTACTGCACTAAATACGTCTGTGATGATGTATGTGTTGATCAGGCCGCAACCTACAGCTTCGATCATTGATGAATAATTGTACAATATTTTATTTGTTCATATTTATTTGATTTGATTATAGGTTTCATAAATCTTTTTAATGTATAGAGAGCGGTTGGTGTGCCGTAAATGTGACCTACTAACTGGAAAACGCTTCAACTATTTGTAGAATAGTAACATATGTTACCTGATCCTGTTGAGAAGAGCCCAAAGTAATTACTTATAAACATCGCAGATCATTAGCACAGTCAGCTGAACTCATTATCCCCAGAGACAAAACTCATATCTCGCACAGCTTCTGAGAGGAACAGACATTCATTATCTTATTGGGTTTTTTAAAATAAGTTATGTCAATAGGCTCTCATATGGGATGTAAATTAATTTAAAACTGAGACAACAAAGAAATCCAAGTGAGTTCCCCAAAGAGTTAGTAATAAGCAACACTTGAGTTTTCATTGGTCAAATTGGAGCCTAAAATATAATAACACACACAAAAAAAAAAAATGTAAGCCTTTTACTTCCCACAAAAAAATTGGCTTCTTAAAGAAAGAATATGGGAAAGTGCATACTTTAGATTTTCTTCAAATCACACATACCTGTACTCATCCTTGCAGTAAAATAAGAGACAAAAAAAGAACAAGACAAAGTTTATTTTTTACTTAATTAGAGAAATGAATTATAGGAAAATAGAGCAAGCTGCTTAAATAAATAGAATGATTGTGATTTTGACCGAATAGCTTTTATTTGTCATGATATATAAGAATTAAGCTGTGAGAGACATTAATAGCTGCATCTGTGTGCAACTTTCACAAGAAGTGATAGCTGCACTGGTCATAGAGGAACAGTTAAGGTTTAAAGCAATAGTTCAGATATTTTACAGTTCTGTTGAAACATCATAAACAATTTACATGTTACACACTTTAAATGACCTTTGTTTGGGCAAAATTAAGCTGCCATCTTGACTTGTCAGCTGTCATTGTGGTTTGTGTGAAAACTATTTCATAAGCCTTTACATATCAATTTCACAATTGTTTTTAAGATTGGACTTTGGCAATGGCCTTGTTAAGAAAATATCTATTGGCTTGTCATTCTGGTCCTAATTAAAATATCCCTTCAAGTTGAGGTCGTTCACAGCGATTTACAACAGGTAACATCTTTCCACAGAAATCTACCTCAAAAAGTCAACTTTTGTTTTAAGTAGGGAGTACATTTTTATGGATTACTGTGATTTACTCTCACCAGATGGTGGCTGGATGCTGTTGGCTTTATGAAGCAGTCCTTCATGAACTGCACAAGTAGCCCTGATGCTGTGTTAATAATAATAAAACTGCTTTTCACTGTAACTAAGACAAAAAAAGTAAAGAATTATATTAAAACCAAACAATTTAAACATGCTAAACTTTAAAATCTGACAAAACGTATGCACATTACTGGGTTTTGCATAAAGTGTTTTCTAAAATTCTAAAATTGATCTGTAAAGTTGCCAAAACAGCATTAAGGTTACAGTGAATAACCTCTAATAGTTCGTAAGGGCAGCTGGTGCAGTTCTACAGACTT